AATGACTACTTCGTCATTAGGTGTTGGAACAGTCATACACTTGCAAACAATATTCAGATAGGATATCCAGTGTGTTTCGTGACTGAATTTCGAACATCTGAATATCCCTAAATTCCTTGATTTAAATGGTGTAGTAAAATCATTACTAAAATCGCAGTAGGGTCGAAAGCGTATCCTATCTTCACTTTCCATTTCAACTATATTCCCTGGTTTACCTAAGGCCAAGATTACATTGTCCGGAGAATAAGAAGTAAATATGGTGTTTAGATAAGTTAACTTTCCTTTGCTAAACTCAGCGCCCTTAGTACTAGCTTCTATAGGTACATGCTTGACACCTGTACTCTTCATTAAATACACGTGCTCAACATAACGCTGCGCTGCCTGCTTAGCCACAACATATCCACAGTGCACGGACTGTCTGATCTTGCGCACATAGGATTCAAAGGGAAATGCACTGAATCCCTCTAATGGCCCATGCAGCTCGACGTCATCCACTATATGTTTCAGAGAATGAATATTGTAAACAATATGTTCATTTCCGAAATAATTCTTATATTGCAGTAAGAAAATACTCAAATCTGTCCGAGCAGCATCCAAAAACAGTCGGCTGTATTTGGTACTCGACAGTAAGTATACCGCAGGGGAAAATTTCCTAAAATTATCATACAGGGGGGAGGCAGAATGTTTCTGAGTAGAACTGAACCCAAATATAGTAGGAAAAGTCTACACTCAGTTGTTTTCCATTGGCTAGGGTCATCTAACGACCGACAATTCCTCTGAAAGTCAGAAGGAATGTGTATCCTTACTTCCTTGCAGTCCATTATTAATATCCGCAATAATCTTACTATCCATCTGCTTCTCTCACCGTGCTGTAAGACCCTGCCAAAGGAACACCAACTTCTTAACAACACCAAGGTATATTAGATGCATTGGCTCCAAGGGAAACGATTTGAGTATGTCAAGTGGCAATTTCTCAAGACACGTTCTGCCCCGACGGGGACTTGCTTGAACTTGACCACGGAATGTCCTATCATTTCTAAGTGTCTGGTTCCCATTAGGAAATGTCATCCTACCCTCCAAACGACAACCCATGACTTCACATTTATCACAACCTGTTTTTCCATTGTGACCGACAGTTTGTTTTACATTAGAACGAGCAGATATGTCACATATAAATGATAGAACACTGACAGTCACACTCCTACCCCACTTCTCTACATATAGACCGTTTTTATAAAGATCTTTCAGTTCAACTGATAGGTCCCTAGAAGCCTGATTGCAGTTGTTGGGTTTTCTCAAACCGCCATGTATGCCAATTAAGAAAACTTCACTGACGTATGGAGTTGTGATACGACCTAGGAATGGCCATAATTGCTGCGAAGAACTGTTCGATATAGATAAACCGTCATAGTTGATTTGCAAGCCAATATGTTGAAAAGTACCGTAGTCAACCCAACTACCTAGATAACGCTGCAGATTTTCCTTCAGTCCAATGTGATAGTAAACACCTTGTCCAAGAAATCTGGGTACACACATGCCGCTGTCTTTTAGCAAGCCTCTTATGGTTGTTGGTACATGTGGATTAAATTTACACATACAGTTCTAGATATCTTGCGCAACAGCCCCTGTTACATTGTTCCTAAGGAACAATTCCATAATTGAATTTCTGACCAGCTCTTTGTGTGTCATCTTTTCAGGAACAACCTGAAGTTCTATTAAAATTAATTATTACATAATAATAAATGTTACGGTTCTCTTCAATTTGTGAAACAACAGCGACGGTTTCACTAGTACTAGGCATATCCACTGTTCCCTGTACAGTTGAACTTGAAGGCAAAGGTACTGTTTTATCCCTTGCCACCTCTTCTCTACATGAGCAGTAACGTTTCCAGAAGTCCCAGTCACTAAATGCTGCATCACATAACCGTTTTTGACGGCGGTAAAATGTGGAGTAGCTGTATCCAAGGCATCCATGCAGCCTGCCAGAAGATATTCTTCTCTTACGACTTGTTGCAGAGTGTTGAATACCCGTATCTAACACATTATCTGAGTTGTTTTCCTTATAATAGAAATAAACAAATAGTATACACCGAAAATCTAACTCACCTGCATGATTTATAAATCCTGTAAGAATGGTCTCTGTATGTAAGGAGTACCGCTTCTAGGCAAACATCAGTTGTTTAAATATGAAAAGGGATGACAGGTGAACTATAATCACAATCCGCCAATAAAATTGTAATTGAAATAAGAACAAATTAGTTCAGCGAAGAGTCTCTTTTCGGCGAATTCATTCACTTAGCTGTACAGTCGCAAATATATATACAATTATTTTGTGTGTGTGTGTGTGTACATTAGGTTTGTCAAAATCAAAATAACAGTTAGTGTGGGTTGTTGATTATATCATCAAGATAATGAAGAAGTTAAAATGTGTGATTAATACTCAAAGTTGTAACTAAGTGGGGTGAGGATTGGTAAGATGTGAGTGGAGTTACATCATCAAAATAATGAAGAAGTTAAAATGTGTGATTAATAATCAAAGTTGTAACTAAGTGGGGTGAAGATTGGTAAGATGTGAGTAGGGTTACGTAATATGGACATGTTTAGAAAGATTACATGCTAGTGAAGGAGTTTGGAGACAATTATGAAAATAAACTAGATAATAGGTGAAAAGATTGAATGGGTTAGTTACTAAAAATTGTTATACGAAAAAATTGCAAAAAACTGCAGAAAAAAATTTGATAACAAAATGTTGATGACAAATAAACTTGGAATTAAACCCACGGTAGTAGGAGGGGGTGGAGAAGTTTCTTCTGTGTGCATAACTCAGGCTTTTCCATCCAAATCGCTAAGGCTTCAGCAACACAAAGTATACGGAAGCTTGTCGATTTTGGAAGGCTTCTTTTGACTTTATAGATGACTTTGAACGACTTCTCCTTGCAAATCAAATGACCAGTGTTGAGTATATGCTCAATAATGGCGCTCCTTATCGCTCCGTTGTTACCTTTCCGTAGCCAGGCGGGATAGTGTTCTTGAACTCTTTTAGATAAAACCCGCATCGAACGACCTATATACCTCGCTCCACAAGAGCAGGTGAATTAGTAGATACACATGGAAGTGGTCAAATGCGATAGTTTATCTTTAGAGTAGTTGAAGAACAATGGCCGGGAGGAAAATGTCAGTCGTAGTGTGGCAGCGAAGAATGTCCTTCTGAGAGCAGTAGATATCCTCTTCTTCAAGGTGTCAGCCAGAAGGTCACCTTTGAAGGGTACATTCATGTAGACCATCTTCTTCTGCACTGTAATGGGTTGTTCTTTGTACGTCTTAGGCTTAATGTGCTTGTCTATAAAACGAGGTGGGTAGCCATTCTCGAGCAGTGTCTTCCTTAAGAAGGCGATCTCTTCCTCTATTGATTCTGGACTACAGATTTTTCGGATTCTAGTCGCCAGAGATATTATCAAATTTCGCTTGCGACTTATTGGTACCCAACTGTAGAAGTGTGTCAACTGACCGTTCCATGTAGGTTTTCTGTGTACTGATCTGTTCAAGGTACCATCGGTCTTCTTGCTTAGACGAACGTCCAGAAAGGAGATTGTCTCATTGGTTTCTACTTCGATTGTAAATTTGATGGCAGGGTGGCAACTATTGAAAACTTGAAGAGCAATATTTTGATCACAATTGTGATCGCAGATGACGAAAGTATCATCGACATACCTTTTGTATAAGAAGAATTTGTCGATGGTTGCTTTCAGCGGACCGTTTTCCAAACTTGCCATGAAGATATCGGTCAGCGAATTAAAAATTGTAATTACAACTGTTAACATTTTCCTTACAGCAAGTATATGTTTTCATATGTGAATCAACACAATCTGCCACCCCTTGTTTCATTTGGACTCCCAAAGTTTTAATATATGAACTCAGAAACAGTGTTCAGCAATCGAAACAATTTATATTTCACTTATCACAGGTATCTTTTTTTAGCTGTGGTATTTGAGTTTTCGCCCTCCCCACCCTCCATCTTCGGTTCGTTTTAAATTCTTATGTTTCATATTTACAATATTCAGCGAATTTTCAACGAATTTATTATCAAGGTTTACAAACGTATATATATATATATGGTTTTTAAGATATTATATCCAGTGAGGGAATTAGGTCAAAGGTGTGAATACATAACATAATAATAATAATGGTTTGAAATGCAAATAAAATATTTGTGGTTCTAATCATAGTTAAATGTTAAGCAGCAAAACAATCAATGTCATATATAGAATAATACATAAAGTGTATAGATGTTGGAAAGGGGTGCATAATTATAGGATTAGTAGGCAAATATAAAATGCTACATAACATGGTATGAAATTTGATAAGATCGAATTCAATATTGCAAAAATGAAAATTTTAAAAAATTAATAATTTTGAATTTAGAATGACAAGTGGGACAGGTCGAAACAATTCAGAGTCAGAATAGTAATAATAATATTTTCATTAGCGAAATAGTACGTGTCATCACGCAAAATCGTGAAGCCTTCCATATTTTTCGCAAATTAACTATCGAGCTCAGAGAACACAACCACATCAAAATCATCCACCTGAGCTACAAATCTTCTTCATCATACACATACTATAGCAACATCAATCATGTAGTACTGCAGCAGTAATTATATGCGTAGCTGACTACTTGATACAGGAACTTGCTACTCTACGTCAAACAATAATGACAGAAAGATGAATAATGCAAGTTGATATAATGCAAAAGCTTGAGTACATAAATTGTGCTGTCTTAGTATGCAAATGAAATACAAGATGTAGGGAATTTTGATTTTTCCCCGTGAAAGTATAACCTAGGTTGTATGGGCTACTTGTATTTGAATAATACGAGATAATTGTGCTTTCATTCTATCCTTCACTACTGTAATTCATCATCATTTCGTATTTTCCTAGGAAGTGGGCATACACTAGCAATCCAAGATATTGCTGATATCTGTGCATCCATTCAGTTCGCAATGACACGTCTTATTTGTCGACGTGTACAACGTGAATATTGCATTTTACAAGGTGATGGTGGTGATAATGTTTCCAATGTCGAAATAACTCGTCCTACTGCTTTAGTAAGTTCATCACATTTTCAATAAAATGAACAATAGTTTCATGCTCATCTATCTTCTTACGTTTCAAATGTTGTATATTCTGTTATTTGACCAAGTAAACAACTGTTAGACACTACTTTCTCACTCCACACTTTCAAATGAACCTATGGAATTACGATCGTTGTCTTTCTACTTAAAAAGAGTTGAATAAAGTCGAATTTCACCTGCATTCAATTAGCATACACCAGTGTTCACCATCGTGAGCCTAAGTGACCGAATTAAATCACGTTGAAAGTGAAGATGATTAGTATCACTCTGTTGAAAGTGTTCATTAGGTCATTTGATAGACACGTCGTTTAGATTTAAACTGTTTTAAGCAACAAAAAGTACAGACGGATGATGAGGAAGAAAAGAGGAAGGTGGACAATTAAGAGCAACTTATTTATGCAACTATAGAAATGTGTAAAATAATCCCTGCTTCCCACCTGCCAACACTGTGTGAATTTATATCCCTGTATTAGTGTGGTTTTGATCTTTTGCAAAAATGCTGAAATGCTCTTAAATGTATCGGTGCCATTCAATTCAACTGGAAAAGTTGCTATTACAAGTAGAAATTTTTCGGAGACAGGAAATATTTTTGATCTTCAAAGTTTGAAACTATGAAAAGTATATCCTAGTATAATTCTGGACTTAACCATTGCAAACATTCTGATATGCGTATTAGAATGGTATTTTGCTACGATGCTCAAGTGTCTTTATTTAGCTAAATGCGGAAAATGCCTAAAATACTAATGTATGAGTTCACCTCTGAGACCAGGGGATAGAGTAGAAATACTAGACGGAATATTCATTTTGAGTATCAAGTGTCTGTCACATTTATCACCCCTTAAACTTTGTAGATTATATGAATATCTAAGTCTACCTTTTTTATAGGTCGGTCGGTTTTCGACATAGAACTTTGCACCGATATACTGCAGTTCAAGTCGCCACAGTCCACATAGCACACAAAGCAAGAGAAGAAAGTAGGAGAAATGCATTATATAGACAGTAAACAGAGGTGTGAGACAAAGGAATAGTAATAACGGAGAACAAAACAGTTTAATTGGAAATCATATGTCACAAGGAGTGGATGCATCTACGCCATTGAGGACGATTTTGAGTCATGTCACCAACTGTTTCGAACCATTGGTTTTTACCGTCCCGAGGACCCCAACCAGGAAGTCTACATCTTCCTACGTGGCTTAGACTAACTGTTGTGGATTTCATTGACTGGTGCCATGTTTTCGTTTGACCGCCGCTAGCTAGGTTGTGTCGGAGCTAATTTAGTTATTCGAGCTGGATTGACAGAAGTGGCTAATCACTACAACATGAAATTTTTGTCTCCCCCACCACATTTATGCACAGACAATGGAGTTATGATAGCCTGGTAAGTACTACAGCTTGAGATTAAATCCAACGTCATTGTGAAAAGTAAATTGGAGTTGAGCATATCACACCCACCCACAAATACCTTTCGAGGAGAGAAAATAAGTTTTTAAACGAATCATTTTCCATGGGTTCTCTAATAATATCGCATCATTAAATTACACATACCACCAATTCAGCTTAGTTTCAAGAGCTCTGCTAAGGTTTACATTCACCAACGAGTGTGTAGCTAACTACTCACCATTGTCTATTTAAAGGGCTTTGCTGTATGTCTATACATGTGTACAACGAATTCACCATCGAGCAGTAGTATTTATCCTTTTCTGTGTAGTATATTGTTGTGTCTTTCTCTAATGCATCTGTTGTGTCCACTCCATTCCAAGCGTGCATAGTAGACGGAACATATTAGGTATCCAATACGTAATCCTATAAATTAGGCTTTCTATATTACTTATGCTGTTATTCCTATTTAGACGAACGACCACACACCTACTTGCTACAGAATTTCCCCAAACTAACATTTTGCTCATATTTTATAGATCACGTATCGAAACGAATTATCTTATGATTTAGTAGTACTATTTTGTAAACATGAAGACGATAAGTTACCTTCATAAAAGTGGACTAAGAAAGCACTTAGGAGTAAAGCGCCGTAAAAAACTCCAGGTCATACGAACGTGTTTAAAGAAGCGAACCGTTAAACTGTTCATCTGTTGTTTGATTTCAGAAAGTATTACAAAACTGAATAAATGCGTACATTGATATATCTTACGGGAATAGTGAATCTATTATTCGTCAACGCATTTTTCTACCTAGTGTTGTAATATTTCTTCAGTTTATATATTTTTAATATGTTGAAATACGACTAAGATGTACATGCAACTTGTCTTCTGGTGATCGGAAACCGCACACGTGTTGCAGCGATCGTAATACCGTACTGTGTGATACACAGTCACAACTTTCCGTCATTTTTGAAGTAATATGTTGAATGATGACTAGTAGTAGAATCCAGGTTGTGCGTTTCTTCCTGTTTAGGACTCGTCAACTGGATGTGCCCGCATCCCCAGTGAATGATGGTGTTCTCACTGAGGCTGGAACCCAGTACCCATATTTGAAAAAGCTAGAGCACTATCCACTTGATTACTTGGACCAAGACAGTTACCTCTTGTGCAACGGGTATCAGTTAATATTTAATATACTATTATTACTTACTGCATCCATCTGATGAGTACCAAATGTAGCGAAATGAGCATCCTGCATTCCACTGCTAGTCACCATCTGGCAAATTACTTCGATTTAAACCCTCAGACATCGTTGGAGCATTCGCACAAGGGGCCAATGTGTCAACAGAGGCCGAACACTTCCGTCAAATGAATGAATAGAGAAGTCCAAATTGAAACAAATTTTTGTCATATTGTTTAATTATTAGATATCAGTCAACCCTAATGAAGTACAGAACAAAATCATGACTCCTGAGTGGTGATAATCACTATCTCCCATCCATGTATCTAGTTTTCTAGTATTATGGATTGTATAATATTAAGAATACCTACTTCTGCGCTTTTAAATGTATTTTTTAAATTTGCCTTTGGTCGTTTACACAGGAATGGATACTTGTTACAGAAAGAAAAGTCTCCTCGCATTACGGAAAATATTTCTTCAGTAGATTTTACACCAAGGTTTGTTTAGTTCTCTCTAAGTACTTTTTCTTAGTAACTGTAGGCATGGTTAATAATATCGTTTCATTTTGAATTTATTTCACGTAAAATACCATACATGTGAATCATCATCTAAGGTTGCTCTTAACTGCGACGAGACCGAGAAAAACAAAATTTATCGAATGAAATAAATAATTTTATTTTATAACTTTTCTTTAGTTGCATACAACTCATATGAAAAAACACACAATCAGTATAAGGTAAAGTAACGTCCTATAATCATTATATGCGACGTAGATAAGAGCAATTGAAGATTGTTAACAAATGGGTATCATTTGTCAGACTTTGCGACTACGTAGTAAACAGAATGAAGGGATGCAGAGGTAATAGTAAACTAAACGCGTAAATAAGTGAAAATATACTGTGCTATAAACATAGGTGAGTACATTTCTATTTCGATCAGCTATGCACCATATGACTAAGAAAATAAGTTATCAGAAATCGATGTAGTGACTACTGTTAAATGTAGCTTTGGTTATTGTATGAATCGTTGGCCAGCTTGACGAAGCCATACGAAAAACCCTACTTTTAATTCAATACAATAGTTTTAGTCAGCGAAAAATATTCTCACAAGAATTGTCATTCACGATTTGACAGATGCGGGATAAAACGGTGTTCTCAACAGTACAATACTATCATGTTGTCAACGTATCTCAAAACCCTGTACTGTTTTGTTTAAGTTTGTATTCTATTAAAATTCAAATGGGTTCATTTACTAGGTGAACTTCCAGCTTGTCAGTCACGCGAAGGCGATTTGGGCTCCATGAGTAACTGTGCTTACTCGTTGACTTTCAAAAGAATTTGAATATAAAGTCTCCGGCTTATGTCATGCAAAGAATATTAAATCTTCAATTGAAAGCATTCCATAAATGTATCATATAACATCTTTATCCTCGTTAACCTAGAACTCCTGAATTTCGTCGTGTATTTACTTGCAACACATCAGCTTGTTATTACTAATGGTAGTGAAATCCAGAAGCAGGCATTTTATAGACTAAAAACATAATTTGTTAACTTGTTGACTAATTGTAGATAAATGTGGTTCTACTGGCTTTTCCGATTGGTTTACGAGACTTAACTGACCAGCGTGTTGGTGTATCTGTTTCTTGTGATGACACCTAGATATTGTGCAATTTCATTCCTACATATGCATATCTGATATCAGTTAGAGAACCATTGAAAACCAGGGAGTACTGGACAGCTGCTGTTTCATCCTAGTTTGGGATTCATCGGCAGTACAACAGCAGTCCAGTACTCCCTGGTTTTCAATGGTTCTCTAACTGATATCAGTCCGTGATCAACTCGTAAAACATAACTAACCCTTACAAACTAAACTTTAGAAAATATGCATATCTCACATAGAGTCATCAAGAATGAAAATAATTGCAGACTCGACTGAGCTGCTTCACCACTTTTCGTCGAAAATTTTTTATTTTCTATTATAGTATCACCATATATGATGAGAGAACAAAGTGAGTCTCAGTGTTTATTTTTGTATTTATAGGTCTACATTCGGCCTTGATTTTCGGGAGTCAGTGAAGCAAGCAAATATATCGACTGAACCAATCAAATTGCCAGATTCTGTTTTCCAGTCATAAACATCTTTAAATTTATCTGTAGTATGAACACTTTCGCGAATATTGTGCTGTCGATGTACCCGGTACAGTATTTATCTTGACTTATTTTATTATGAATTTATTATAACCTACCTCAATGAAGAAAAATATGATAAATATACTGTGGTACACTTTTACATAAAATATATGCGTTGCGTCACTTCTATATTCCTCTTCTATACAATGTCAAAATATTATATTCCGCTATTTCAGGGGAGCAGTTATGGTCATAGATTCACACTGAAGGAACGATCCTGGGTAGTTCACTTTTGATCTAGAAACAAACTATCCGCCATTACTTTGTTATTATTCGAAATTGAAGCCGTGACATAGACTGAATTAAAAAATTGGGTTTAATCAGTGCTCTTACTCAAACTAATGTGCAAATACGCGAACTGCTCCACAATAATGCGAAATTCTTATGGCGATAATGTGTGTCTGATGACAGAGGCAGAGCTTCTAGCCAGAAAAATCAGCAGTTGAGCAACCACTTTATTGCTTTTGTTGTGATTGTCAAGTGAGAATGTGTTTTTCTATTATCGTGACTCAGCAATTTATTCGTACGAATGCCCTACCGCTCTTTTAACGATATTAAACCAAATGGCTTCGATGTCAAAACAACCAGTAGTCATTCTATTCGTTTACTCACAGTCACTTTTCAGTTGCTTATCACCATTTTCCCAGCTGGATAAAATTAGTATGTCAGGAACTCAATTTTCACCTAAGGTGTTTCGCTAAATTAAGAAGAATTTTGACGGAAATTGTATTTCAGGTTCTATCTAGCACAGAGATGACAAAAATAGTTTAGATTAGACAGAATCACCAACCAGAGGTGGTACACACTATGAGATGTGGATTTAAGCACGTAAACTATTGTGACATATCAGATTTGTCGGTCGTTTTACAACGTGATACCCATCTTAGTAAAATGAAACTGTTACATATCACGGTAAGGAAATAACTAAGAACAGTGAGATATATTCATAGTGATGCTTCTGAGAGAGAGAGCTACTGTTTGTCTAAATCTTGTAGATGTTCTCGCCGAAGGAGTGAAGATGATAGCTGCCTATAGCTGAATTTGTTGTTTCAATTTCGGACATTCCAGCAGTCCTCATTAAATCAATCACAATTTACTTCTCTATTCTAAATTTCTACACCCAGAGAGACACCAAGTTTCGAAGAAGTGAAATTCTGGTAGTTAGAGCAATCATGTCACATCTATTATGATGTCCGACAATGAGCAATTCGATGAAAACGGCAATCGGAACACTTTTGAGCTGGTCTGCTAAACCCTATGTTCGTGTTTGACTGCTTGGATCTGTCTGTAATTGTGATAGTTTGCGTATAAGGAAATACACCAGACATGCAGTATGTCTCTAAGAAACTGTAGAAATAACGTAACTTGCGAATATCACGAATCAGTAAACACCAAAAGTTTGGAGTAATTAATAACATTTGTGCAATTTTGTCTTTTATGAGAAAGAAATATTTACAAAAAGCTTGAAAAGAAAGTTATTAAGATGGTCTGCATTCCGGAGGTGCAGTATTGGAAGGCCTTCTCTGACGCGGCACCGGATTCTTTTGAAATCTTTGGCTAGTAATTGGTTCATCTTTACTTTGAGTAGGTTGCTGTGAATGGACTGACGCTGGTGTGACGAATGCATTTGTAGTGGGATTCTAGTATGGAATGTAATTCAGGTAAGAACGTGTAAGGTTGAATATTCAAATAACTAAAAGCATACTATAACATCAGTACTGAATCAAATAAACGCACTTGAACAATGTAATGACAAATTCTTTTCAACGTACTATAGCGTATGCTTTAACTCACCGCATTTGTTATCGGTAGAGACAAAATTAACTAACCGACCCATAGAATAGTCTAAGAAGCATATCAGACAGCTTAAATAATGAAACGAAACAGAGAGAGGATGCATGGCTACCATATTAACATCCCTTAAAATCGATTAGAAAGTTCGAAAAGGTTACAATAGAAGAACCAATGGTGAAACTGATGATAAGAAATTTTTAATTATTATTGTTCCCTTGGGCTCCAAGCGGAACATATGGCTTCAACAGCACACCTCCACTTTGTTCTGTTTTCTACTGTCTTCTTCAGCTAGACCCACGATTGCCCATAATCTCTCATCTCCTCCTCACACGATCTCCTCCATGTAACCATTGGACGATCCACTCGTCGTTTCTCATTCAGATTCCACTCAAGGGCCCGGAGCGCGATGTCATTCGACGGCCTCCTTAGCCTGTATCCAACCCACCTCCACTTTCTCCCGCATATTTGTTGAACGATAGGTTCTTAGTTAGTTTTCGCCAGGGTTTCTTGTTGCTAATCCTTTCTGGCCGGCCGGCCATTTAATCTTCAGTATGGAACGAAGGCAACCATTGATAGAAATCTGTAACCTGTTGAAAATCCTTTTCGTGACACTCTAGCCAAGCTTCTGACCCATATAGAAGAACTGACTGACTTCACATTTGTGGTGAAAATCCGAATCTTGTTCTTTATGCTGCGGAGTGCAGAAGATTCCCAAACTGATTTCAGGTTGATGAAGGTGTATCTTGGCTTCCCGATCCTGACTTTGATATCTTCATCCGTTCCGCCTCTAGTTGAAACGATGCATCCTACATAAGTGAAGGAAGTAATCTCTGTTAGATCTCTCCCTTTGATGGTGAATGGTTCTGGTTGATGTTGCTGTTGGTTGGTTATCTTTACCATCTCCATCTTCTCTATGTTCACCTGGAATGCTGTCTGTTTCTTCTGCCAGTTTGTTGGTTTTCACCTGCAACTCTTCGAGTTTGTGTGAGAGTATACATGAATCATCTGCGAAATCAAGACCTTCTAGACTTTTCTTATCGGCCTACCGAGTTTCATTCCTCTCGATACCCACAGTCTTCCTCATAACCCAGTTCACCACACTTAAGAATATCGTCGGTGATAATAGGCAGTCTTGTCTTACTCCCGTATTCACTTCGAACGCCTCGCTGAGTTTTCCGTTGTGAATTATCTGACACGAGGCAATGTCATATAGCCAGCTGTTGAATAAGGTTGATAAAGACTTGTGGTGCTGCACGCCATAGTGTTGAATTAGTTTCCAAATTACTTCTCGGTCAACGCTGTGGAAGATCCTTTCGAAGTCGATAAAGTTGTGGTAGATGTTTGATTGCCATTCTAAGCTTTGTTGTGATGGCGATGCGTACAGCTGCAATTTCATCGATTAGCAAATGTTTTGTCCTTCCTTAATCCAGCTTGTTCCGGCGAGCGGAGTTCTGCATCCAGTGCATCTTTTATTCTCTTCAGGATGATGCGACTTCGTACTTTACTTGGGGATGACAACAGCATTATTCCAGGTTAGTTCCCGCACAGGCCTAAGTCGCCTTTCTTCCAACCAGTAGGTACCTTTCCTACCTTCAAAACCTTTTGCGATAATGGTGTGAGAATATCTCCCGCAGTCTCTGTTTCCGTTTTCAGTGCTTATGAGTGGGAGAACTCCGTTTGATCCTGCTGCCCTCCTGATTGGTTTTCAGTAGCTTGATCGCATTTAGGACTTTTGATTTCTCTGGAGGATTGGTGTCCACTGACAGGCAGTTATGTGTGTGTGCTGTTGGTGATATTTCTAGGCGAGTTGCAGGTGGTGGTCGATTCAAGGACTCTTTGAAGTGAGCAGCCCATTGTTTTATTTGTTTCTCCCCCTTGGAAATCAGGTTAATTTGAACATCTTTTGAATAACGCAAGAACAACAGCGGTTTGTGCAGAACAATATGGTATCATAATTGCTTATTTCGTTGTCTTCTCATCAGCTGCTTACAGCGTAAATTAATTCATGTTAATTTTATGTGGAGAAAAGTTTTAACATGCACATTTTACATGATGTCACTTTACAGTAGGTTCTGGAATTGGTGAACAGTGCTCAGAAAATTACGCTTATATAGTTTTTACACAGACAGTTCATGTTTAAAAAAAGTAAATGTATGCATACAGTGGGTAAAGGAGTTGCGTAATAAAGACGAGAGATGAATAAGATAATGAGTGACTAATAAATTAAGCAACAATGTACTGAGTTCAGCTCAAATCATTAAAACAAGAGACAAGGAAAATTACACTATATCGAAGTGGTGAGGTTACAGCCAAAGATTACGTAATTAAATTTAAGTATTGTCCATTTAAAGTTTTTGTCCAAATAGCCATAAACCAGCACTAGTTAAGACTCTGAACTACATAACGATGAGAATATGCTCTGCACAGAAATTAAAGGAAGAATTTACGATTTTCGAAGGGATGTTGAAAAACAACGGTTACCGTCAAAGATTCATTAACAAATATGGAAGATGTGAAGGCTCAAACAAATCACAATGGGAAAAAGCTTGTCTTCATTCAACTCGATTTTAACGGTGGAAATATTGCAGCAATGGTCAACAGAAGATTGATTACGTCACTAGCTAGAGTCTATCCTGCAGCTAAGTTGGTTCCCGTCCATCAGACAACATGCTCCTTGGTGCAGTCAAAAGTCGATAGATACCCTTCTCATGTTAACTCCAACTGTGTATACAAATTTACATGTATCTGCGGGAGCAGGTACACTGGGAGAACAGAAAGAAAGGCACACCTCCGACTTTCTGAACATGTACTGAAAAGCCTATGTCTCAAGGCAACAAACGCTTATAATGGTGCCATTACCAAGCATCTTGATACAGATCATGAGGTGGAAATGGCTAAATCCTTTAAAATTATCAATAGACAAAGGAGGTCGATTCTCCTTAAGTTTGCCGAAGCAATTTCTATCAAACGCTTGGAACCCGATTTATGTGTTCAGAAAGAAGCAGTTATCAGTCTCCTCTTCCCCTGGTAACTGGATGTCTTTATTCACTATCTCATTTGATTACGTAATCTTTGGCTATCGAAATGGTGAGGTTGCAGCCAAAGATTGCATAGTCAAACGAGATAGCGAATAAAGACATTCGGTTACCAG